TTTCCGACCCTAATTCTATGAATCTACAGTCACTTCTTCACACTCCTATGTGAGGAAGCTATTATACCATACCCGATTATAAAAAGTGACAAAGTAGGAAAGGGAAAAAGAGAGAGAGAAAGAGAGAGAGAGAAGCTTATAATGACTTTACTTCAGTAAATGAAGATGCCCAAGATATACACAGGGCTCTAACCATGGTAGGACAAAATGTAACCACTGACATTTTGTCCAGCTTTTGCTCATGGCCAGCATCTGCCCTTCTACGTCTACAGCCAGGAAGGAGAAACAACGCAACTTCCCTGACTAGAGCTGTAGCCAGTCCCTGAGTCTCCAGGCTGTGGGATAGCTCTCCTGTCTTTAGGAAATAGGGGCATTAGAGAGTCTTGGTTTAAAGCTGGGTTTTCCAAGAACCAGCCTCCGGAGCCCTATCATTTGGCCCACTGTGCTGTTTGTGGACAGACTGGCCCCACACATTACATTCAGTCTGCAATGGACCCAGCCCCATGAGCTGACTGCAGTGCATGAAACTCATCTGCCATGCTCTGGGCTGGATCCAGCACACAGGGTCAATCCCAATCCACAGTGGATGCTGAATGTGGCACCCATGCCAGACTGGCCCTACATGCAGGATCCAGGACCACAGTGCACACCAGAACCAGTATGCAGGGCCAGTCCTGCCTGGGTGCCACATTCAACATCCACCCTGGATCAGCCCTACATGGTACATGCAACACCTGGGGACGGGGCCAGGGATGGAGCCAGGGATAGAGCTGGCACACACACTGTACACAGTGCTCAGAAGTAGTCCAGACCTGCTGTGCCTGCTGCACCTATGCTAGGTGAGCCCTGCGCACTGCCTCTGGCCATGGGGCCAGATGAGTTTGATACCCCTGGTTTAAAACAAAGCCAGGTCCTTCCTTTTTGTGGCTCAGTCATTCCAGTAGTTGGGTGGACTCACGGACCAGATGCAGCTCTGTTCAGATGGGGGAGGGGGAAACACTGCGGCTCCAAAAAACAGAGTGGGCACATCTGCCAAGCAAGACACAAAGGAAGAGAGTTCTGAACTCACAGCTTTCCCCTAGAAGCTCCAACTCCTCAAGTCCATAGTCAGTGAGGTCTCTCCACGGGACTCCTTAATTAGAGTTCCTGAAAGGAGCCAGGAGAGAATTATCTCATCCCTTGGTGGGCTCACAGTATGCCAGAAAAATGCCCTGGGTCCAGGGCCAGAGCCAGACCTGGAGGTACAAGGTTGTGATTTTGCTGTCTTCTCTTTAGGCAACAGAGATATGAGAGACTCTCAGACTGAGGTGCAGCCTAGGCCGGGAAGGCTTGACCCCATATCAACCCCTTCCCACCAGGTCGCCATAACAGAATAGTCTGCATCCCAGAGGATATAACATGGATAACAGGAGGCACTTCCCTTCACCCTGGAATAGTACAAAGAGGAGCTGGCATCACAATGTAACACTGAACTCTGGTAAATAGGAATTCTCTATATTCTACTATGACCCAAAAATAATGTGAATAGGGATGTTTTAAATGGATATATTCTTCTTCTTCCCAATTCCTGTCACCCTAATTTCTAACCTGCTAGGTATTTCAAAACTTTACCAGTTCCAATTCAAATCATGAGACAAAATATTTGAAAATCCTCCTATTCTTACTAAAAGAGTGTTCACTTTACATTTTTAAGCGAAAACTCACAGATGTCTCCCAGGAAGCCTAACCTAGGAAATTGTCTCTATTTTGAGAGAGCAAAAAAACTCTGAGGGCAAAATAGTTTTGAGTCACAGTTCCTCTTTTCTCACAAAGATAATGAAAGCTGGCAGGCAGGGATGGAGATCCAGGTTAGCTTTTATGTTTACTAGAGTGAATTAACTGAACTAAGATATTTCTAAATCACCTGGAAGATTCTTATCTAAGGCAATTCTGAAAATGTTACCAATGTGACTTAGGAGCCTAAGTTCCAATTATTCATAAGTGACCTGGGCATTTAGAGAAACTAGGGGCCAGATCCAAAAAGGAGTTAGGTGCCTAAGCTAAGAGTTAGGTGGAATTTAGACAGGTATCCTTCTCACTAAAGTAAGCTCATCATTTCTTCTTAAATAACACCACAGATTCAACAGGAGTGATAGACATTGCTCCTGATCCAGCCACGACTCTTGCTTGGTGATCACAGCCCTCTCCTGGGTAGTACCAGATGTGGTTTGAACCATCTCGGGTTGAGGAGGATTAGAAGCCAGGTTTCACACTACACAGGCAAGGCTACTTCACAAAAGGTTGATGACTGGGAGCCCTACAGAGCTACAGCTGTAACTCAAGCCTTGCTGGCCCAGCCCTAATCCTGCATGTAGGAACCTTACTAGGGTAAACTCAACCATTAGTCCCAACCTAACCGTAGCTGGCTAGATGAGCCCTACCAAGGTCAAGTCTAATCATAGTCCAGGAAATCCTACCTGGGTAGCCCCTATGAAGTCCACTCTAACCCTAGCCTGTACCAAGTCAAACCCTACTATATCTGGCTCACATCTAACCTGGCTGGTTCCACCAAGCACAACGCAAATAGTAACACCAGGAGCTCTAAGGGCCTCACCCCTACACTGAGACCAATGAATCATATTTGCCCTAACCCTAAACCTAGGCAAGTGAGTTCTACTGGAATAAACCCTAACCCTATACCCTATACATAGGAACTCAACCAGGTCCAACCCTACCCCTAGGCCCGGCCCAACCTAACCCTACCCAGCTCTTAGAAACGCTACAGTGATCAGCCCTAGCCCTAACCTGACAGTCCCTATCAAGCCCAAAATAACACTAGTCCAGCAATCTTAATCATTCCCAGCTTAATCCTAGATCCAAAAGCTATAAACAGATCAGCCTTCACCCTAGCTCAGGTGGCTCTATCACACACAGCTCTAACAGACTAGGAGAAAAGCTAGGGAGGGGTAGGGAGAAAGCTATCACTACCCCAGCAGAACCTAATGAGCTTTTCCTTAATCCTAAACACAGGAACTTTTATGGATCCCAGAAATAACCCCTAGCCTGGAGAGTCCTCCTGGACTCAGCCCTAGCAGAAGGCTCAGAAGCTCTACTGAGCCCAACCCTAACCTTGCCTGTTAACCCTACCAGGCCTAACCCCAACCAAAATGCTGAGAGCTCATCATTAAATTTAGCCCCAAAAACCTAGCAGGCCTGCCCTTAAGCCCTGCATAGTGAGTACTGATTGTTCGTTCCCAAGCTCTATGATGACGGTCCCTACTGGGCCCAACATAACCATAGGGCTGGTAGGGCCTGTTGGCCTATCATAAACCTAGTCCAAAAATCCTTACTGAGCTGGCAGTTCCTATAACTCTAACCCAACATGGGAGATGTTCCAATCCTAGCTATAGCATCAGGACTCCTAATTCTACCGTGGGTCTAACTAACTCTAACAAGGCCTTTACCAACCACAGCTCTACCTCTAGCCCAAAGACCCCACTACCCTTAAACAAAAGCCTAGTATAAGCCCCAACTTAATGCTACCCTAATCAGCTCAACTAGTCCAAAACTTAAACCTAGCAAGCGGCTTAAGTGGATATCCTATAGGTATCCTAACCATGGACAGTGGGACCTAACTCCATCAACCCTAACCTTAGACCAGCAGACCCTATCGCCACAAACCTAGACCTAGCTTGGGAACCCTGACAACCTCAACATTAGCCCAAACCTGGGGACTCCCAATAGCCCCAACTCAAACCCTAACCAGGGGCTCCATATTTGTTTATTTATTAGATTTATGTTGTAACCTTCCCAAACAGGGCTCAGGGCAGCATACAATAAAAGACAAAAGAAGCTCTCAGAGTTAGGGCAAGGGGTGGGGTGGGAAACAGATCAGGCCACACTAGGATAAATATCTGACTGGTAGGACTCTGCAGGTTAGATTTACATTTGGCAATATGTTTATGGTGGGGATTGGGGTTCAGTTTGAAGTTCTTCAGGCCTTCAGATGTAGGGTTAAGGGTAGAGCAAGTATGACCTAGTATTAGGGATGTGAAAGGTAGGGCTGCCCAGGTATGATTTTAGGACTGGGAATAGGATTATAGCTACTTGTACTTGATAGGCTAGGCTTAGGGGTCAGGAAGGTAGGATACCAGGGGTTTAGGGTTAGGAAAGTAACTGGGTTCTCCAAAATAGGGTTATGTGGAGGGCTCTAGAGGTCCATATGTTAGTGTTACAGCTGAATCTGTAAAGGTTAGTGGGATTGGAAGGTCAACCCCAAATTTCTTTAGATATGTGACTACTTGGCTGTGGAGTTAGAATGAATGTTAGGAGTAGGGTTAAAAATTGAATTCTGAATATGAGATTGGCCAGGCATTTCATAGACTTCATAGATTTTAGGGTCAGAAGGGACTTATTTGATCATCAAGTCTGACCCCCTGTCCTGGGCAAAAAAGAGTGCTGGTTTCAGATGCCCCCAGTCAGGTGGTTTGTCCAATCTCCTCTTAAATACCTCCAAGGAAGACAGCACCACCTCCATTGGAAGCGTATTCCATATTTTGGCAACCCTCACAGTAAAGAATTGTTTCCTGATGTCCAGTCTAAATTTGCTCTCCTTCAGTTTGTGACCATTGTTTCTAGTTACCCTGATGAGCGCCCTGGCATTGGCCAAGCTATCTATGGAAGTTATGAAATATCCATGTTTGGAAACTTTTGAAAGTAGGTTAGACAGACACTTGGCTCGAATCCTTTAGGCAGGGATGATCCTGCCTTGAGGAGGGGGCTAGACTACATGATTTTGTAAGATCCCTTCTAGCCCTACTTTCCTATGATCCTATGAAATCCTAGGACTAGTAGAGCTACACTTCAGAGTTAAGCAGACAGGGCACTGCACCCTACAATTAGGCCTGTGGCTGGTAGGGCTGTGTGGTATAGATTCAGGATTGGGGCTAATAAGCTTAGGCTTACAGAACTAGGGTTCAGGGTGCAGCTGTTACATAAATCTGCCTTAGAATTCAAGTCCTAGCTGTTAGGTCTCTCTGAGATCAACTGAAAGTAAAAGCTACACTTAGCATTCCTTGGGCTCCCCAAGCTAGGGTGGGAGGTTTGGCAGGGACAGCACCTGGGGCTAGGGTTAGAGTAGCAACTAGCCAGGCCCCCCAGGCTAGCATTATGTTGGGGCAGCTAAAAGTGTTTGTGTTAAAGTTCAAAGGATCATGAAAAAGTAGGGCTGGATCATCTCACATGCTTATCTAATCCAACCCCCTGCTCAAGGCAACATCACCCGACTAAACCATCCTAAGTCAAGTATCCATCTAACCTGTTCTTGAAAACTTCCAGGGATTGAAATTCCATGACTTTTCACTGTTCAACTAGCCTCATTGACAGAGTTAGGGATCCAGCCACAGGAATAAGGGAAGTGGTGGGGCAGGAGATAAATTCAAGATATCCTTATGGATGTGGCTACTTGGATCTGAGGCTAGAATTGGATTTGGGGTCAGAAGGGCTCACTGGAGCATGGTTAGCATTGGACTGGTAGGAGTCACTAAACAATGATTAGGACAGAGGTGTGTTGAGGACTTCAGGTTAGGTTTAGGGCTCAGGCTTGTTTACTCCTGACCTAGGGTTACACTGGGGCCGGTGGGATGCCAGAGCCAGGGTTAAGACTCGTTCTGGTAGCAGGGCACTGGGCATGGGTTCGGTTTGGGGCTGGTAGAGGTCCCCAGACTAGGGTTAAGCTTGGGTCACAATAAGACTTCTTGGGTTCAGCTCAAGATTCTGTCAGTTAGGTTTTGCTGGGCTAGGATTAGGACTGAGCCTGGTAGGGACTGTCAGGCTACAATAAAGGCTGGGTTCATGAGTCTGTCAGGAGTTGAGTTATCAAGAGCTAGGGCTGGTAGTTTGCTAAGCTAGGGTAAGTGCTGGGACACAAAGTCCCCAACAAGGGTCTCTCAGAGGTGTGAAGAAAAGTACTGTGATGCCTGAACACTTGACTATGTCTATACCAACCATACAGTTGAACAAATAAAAGATAAAGTCACCCATAAGAATGCTTGCCTTTTGCATATGTCCTGGACCATCACATTAGCAACTTCATCTCAACACTACCTTATACAGACCTAAACCCTTTAAGCCAGCATTTCTCAACCTGTAGGTCACAAAAATATATGAAAGGGTTACGAACATTAAAAATGGATCAACAAACTTTAAAAAGGAGGAAAATGGAAACCGCAGCTTTCCCCTTGCAGGCTGGCAGATTTTCAGTTTCCAAGGGGCTGCTTGGAGCCCCCCATGCACAGCCATCCCCTGTCCCACAGACCCATCCCCTGTCCCACACACTGGAAGAACGGGGCCTGGGGGCAGGGGGAAGCAGGTCAGGAGAGAGAGGCACTGGGTCAGGAATGGCCATCAATGTTTACAAATAGGTGCTGGTACAAAAAAGGTTGAGAACCATTGCTATAAGTTATACATCCTAAATAGTACCTATGTAAATGACATCTCTGAAGTGACCATGACTTTGATCCATCACTGTGAAACTTCCTCTTAGCAAGATTCAGAGTTGCCAGTTAACTTGCATACATCAGCAAGGCAATGATATAAAAATAAACTGTTACTTCTCCACTGTACTCTATTCAAGCCACAGCCTCTATTATTTTCACTGCTAAGTTTCCTGGATAGTGAGTCAGCTTGATCTATTTTTTTAAGTGTTTAATTTTTCCTTCCTAAAATAGCATAATGATGAAATAAGAGATTTAATTCCTTTACAGTTATAGCTCTATTGTCTAGCCCTCAAAATACTCTGTCAACTGTTGCAGATTCTACCAAGTATAGATCTCCTGCTGACAAAGGTTTCATTTGAGGTTGAATAGTAAGTACTAGGAACAGATTAACCTGACAAATACAACAATTATTTGGCATTCAAAAACAATTTACAGCCTTAAACATAAAAACAGATCTATGAAACACAGAGACTGACAGAGAGGGAGGGAATACATTGTTCAAGGCATTTTTATTATTCCCTGCTCCCCAGCATGATTCAAAACAGAAAACATAACACCAAAAGGAAAAGAAAAGGCAATTTGGGTTTATGCTGGATTCAAGATTGCACCACTAACATGAACCCACCACCATGCATTGAGTAAGTATAATGTTCCACAAAGGTGTCTTACCTATGAATGTTATGCTGCAACTAATAAAATGCCCACAGCATTCAAGTTTCCCAGGCAGAGATAGCCAAGAAAGGTGTTATTTGCATAAAGACCCATGGGCCCTCAAATTCATGCTCTGCATTTTTACACATGCAGTTATAATGTGCTAATAGACAGCTGTGCCTCTGCCCAAATACTGCTGTAAATAAGGTAGCTAAAAGAGCAAGTGCAGTACTGATATCTATTCCAGTCATTTTCAATGTCATTTTCAGACACACATCATGCAAACACAAACTGCACGAGCCAAAAGGCAGTAATCTAGGGGTTAGTCTTTACAGGAGCCACAAATATTTCTGCAACCCAAAGCAGCACTACTACTCAATAGTAAGCATGAATTCTGGTTAGAGCAGGAGGATTTTTTTTTTAGTGCATATTCACTATAAGTGAATTTGACTTGAATTTACTGAATATTTTCAGGCAAAAAAAATAAAAGAATAAGTTAAAATGGGAGGGAGTTCCAAATGTTCCTTTCTATCTTTAAAAAAAAATCAATTCTCTGGCCAAATTTTGTTTCAAAATGTAATATAAAAGATAAAAATCTTAAAAAATTAAACAAAACGTTTTACATCCAAATATTTTGTTCAACCTGAAAACAAAAAAAAATTGCAACAATATTTTCTGCACTTTCATCAAGAAAAAACATTAAAAATCAGCAGAAAAATATATATAATTTTTGACTGACCCCTCCCCACCCCAAATTCTTGAGTCAGGCACTGAGCAACAACAACAACAACAACAAATCAATTATTTGGAACTTTATTCGCAGCAGTAGATATTTGGGAGATTGGAATCACATATTTATGCTTTTTTAAACACCGAAAGCCACTATCCCATGAATCAAATAAAGACTGGTCCTCACATAACTTGCCCATTATAAAACTACAAGAGCCTGGAAATTAAAACTTTGGTCATCTAACCTTTAATACCTGCTACACTGACCTCTGACTCACTTTTTTACCAACAACACAGCACCCTCATGCCCCAGCCAATCAGAGCAGCGTCTACACATGCATTCCTGTGCAGTAAACAACACCACAGTAGGATGTTACTTGTATTTACAAGTATTAACCGGCAGTAGATTTGTTTTAGTTTCCTGCGGCCTAATAGGACCGCACATGTAGACATTGAGACTTTACTGCGGAGCTAATTAGACAGCTTTGCAGTAAACATCTCACACCCATGGTATGGAGAAACTCTCTGGGCTAGAGCCTGACCCTCTACTAAGGTCCTCCTGTTTTGCCAGCATTGGGTAGGTGAATCAAAAACCAGTTCAAGGGTTTGATGAAGAATCACTGCAGTGTAGCATTCTGCTATGTACATTGAAAGCAATACTGACATATTGAAGTCAAGTAAAAAATCCTGGCTATACTGAAGTCAAGTCAGAAAAAAAAATTAACTTGATTTAGAGGGATCAGGAGCTGAAAAGTATATGCATGAAAGAAAAGTTTTCAGGTTAGAAAAAAGAAGAAAAAGAGGGGGAGGAAGTCCTTGATTAATGTAATACAAATAAATACATTAGTTATTCTGAACACCTTTTGAATCTATATCCTTAGCTTAAAATTTACAATAGCTAAGGCATTTGAGAATGTTGAAGAATATCCTTTCTATGCTCTTGACTATAGACAAAATGTTCTCTTCATCAGTATTTGACATATGGGGCATCTGCATTAGTCACAAAATTTCACTGGAAAATTGACACTTCACATATTGAATTCTCAAACAGTCTGAACCCTTGTGAGGATTTAATATACAGCCAGAAATGTAAAACCATGATTGAACTATGCAGGGAGTGGGGATGGGAAGAGAACGGTTAGCAAAGCTGTCAGATCATTAAGAAGAAGAGGGCAAGAAGAGCATCATGCATTTGGAAGAGCATTAAAAGAAGACTGAGAAAACATTACAAAGGGGCTATAGAAGTTTTCTAAAGCCACAGGATCACAGACAGAGCAATAGAGAGGGAAGGTTTCTGAAAAGAATGGCACCTTCTACACTCTACCAAGATGAGGGAGCCATTTTCAGCTCAGAACAGAATTAACTATGGGTTTGAAATGTTACTAAACAAATGCTAGCTCATACAGAGTGCTAGAGCCTGGAATCGAAGCATTTTCTTTCCAAAAGGAATTAAGAGCATAAGGAATTTGATCTCAAGCTCTAAAGGCATCCTGGAGAAAAAATGACTTCTGGAAAAAATTCCTGTTTCTCAAGTCATGTTTCCAAGAGCTCCTATATCCCACTGTGATACAACTACCAAAACATAAGCAAAACCACATCAGGGACTAGGACTCCACAATATAATGCAAGGTACTAACAAAAGCACCACAGCTGGTCAACATTTTGCATGTAACTTTTCAATAGAATTGACATGAAGATCAAAAGTAAACAGACTAAGTTATTCAAATAAAGCCAAAATAGTTGTCATACAGTTACCAGCTACTCAATCCAAGTTGTCATGAAGAGTTCATAGAGTAGCTGTTACTTTTGGATAGGCAGCAAATTTTGAACCTTAATGCTGAAGATATCTATGAACCTTGCTTTACCTTGCAAGGTCAAAATAAGGGCGTGGGAGGTGGGACCACAATCATCATGTGCACTGTGCACATGAATAACACATTAATTAGTAAGAGTGAGAACTGCAGTTACTTGTTTCCATATACAACAGTTGAACTTGGAACAGGGTTAGTGCAAAACCTCTCCATTTTGTT